CGAGATACCTTTTCACAATGCTTTACTTTTTCAAGGCCCGTGCTGCTTTATTTTTACAAGGCCTGAGGCCTATATCGGGTAAAGGCCCTTTTATGTGCATTTCAACAGTTGGTGGGTCGTGATTTGTTTGAGAAATTCGCGGGATTTATTTTTTCCCTCAAAATTCAAATCGCGCGATTCAGTTTTAGCCGTCGTGCGATTCATTTTCGTTTCTGGTTTGTCAAAATGTGACAGACGCGTTTTAATTTTCTTCCTTTTTTTTTTCCTTCATTTGTAAATCTTTTCTACTTTCGGCTTCTAAATGCATTGAACCAAGAGCATGACTACATTCATTCACCCATGGCTTTGATGGTGTGAAACGCTCCCTGAATTCTGACAACCCCTGACACACGTTATCACACGGCCCGTGTTCGTTCTGCTCTCTTTTTTACACCGACGGTTTCCAACAATCCACCCGTCCACCATTCCCAGCACCAGGTGTCAACCAAAGGTAGCGTTTAAGAGCAAATCTCAGCCGCACGGTGAAACGATGAAAAAAGGACCACGACACCCCACGACCGATAAACTTTAGTCTGTAGAGTAGTAGATATAATCTAAATGAGTCATTTCATAACAGATATAGATAAAATTATAGAATTATAATAGAGATGATTTTAATAGAATAAACATGATTATAATACTTATTATTTAGATGATTTATTATATTCCCCCTTGCCAAGACACCCGCTCACGCCTTCCACTGGAGCCTTTCATGTGCTCCATCCTCCGATCCCTGCTCTTTGAATCTTTCAAATTCTCCCCTCTCCAGCAAACCAGATACTATGCTGAACTGATCAATTGCTCAACAATTTTTATTTCCGCTTCAATGAATGTGATTTTCACAAATTGCTTCCTATCATAAAATGACTATCCTCCTTACCTCTTCGAGTGGAGTCAGTTTCCAGAATCCATGCCTCCTGGAGACCATGAACTCCAAGGAATTCAGACGATACCATCATTCCGACAACAGATAGCAAAGTTTCAACCATCCTGTTGCCATCTTTACCATTGTTGCAATGATAGTCAAACTCTAGGTCAAAGTACAAATGACATTTGTTTTCTGCAGAAGACCATTATGCAAACATGATACACACAAACAATGAGAGAATCAGCATAGATTCAAGTAGGGCATGTGTAAGAATTTCACCACTATTAAGCTACAAAACATTGAACATTGTAAAGAGTTCATGATAGACGCTGGTACCTATGTGTACACTCACCAGAGGAATCAACTCGTAATAGTGTCTATTGTTCATCTCCATCTTCATGTAGCTTTCCAGAAACTGCTCCAAAGGTGTCACGATGTATTCGAATGCAAATTTTGTCTTCCGTGATTCATATGCCAAAATGATTGGGAACATTGACTTATCCAATGACTTTCGGAAGTCAATCGCATCATTTGCTTTTGTGAACCTTCTCACCCGATCTGGAATAGTGGCTGACACCTGTTCAAAGAAACAGAAAATATGTTTATCCAACAATCACTTTTGTCCTCCCCAAAACTCTTTCCAAGACCAGCAATAAATATTTTGCCCATTTGTCCAACTGCTGCCACACCTGATGCAGTCACAAGACCGGCTAACTGGATGGTCATGTGGGAGTCAGGTGCCCTACTATCATCTGATGACACAATTGTCAACTGGGTTTGTGAGTAGATAATCAATTGACAATCTTTGAAGCTGATTCAGTACAAGTGACTCCTCACCGGATAGAAACAACTATCTGCAAAATGGGCCACTGTGGGATTGTATCCCAGAGCAAGGGGACACTCGAAACATGCTTGAATTGGGATCTTATAGTAGAAACATCTTTTGATTCCAGTATGTGGTCTATTCTATGTGGTGAATTTTATATTCTTTTCATTGCTTGTGTTGCGATTAAAGGCTTCTACAATCAGATTGCCAAAGACTCCTATTGCTTCTTTGACTGCTATTGTATAAGTAGTGTTTGTCAGATGCTAGTATTTATGAACGTGTGTTTTAATGGACAGACTATTGTTTATCTGTCTTCCCGTCTTCTCCAAATGAAGAACACTTATCTGGGAAGACTAATCATTTGTGAGCATACTTAAAAGAACCCAATCTGGCAGCCATTTTTCTTTTAAATCATTTAATAGAAATACAGTATCATTTTTATTACGACTGGAAAAGCAAGTGTAGTGTCCCTTACAAAAATAGCACACTCATGCTTCGCTTTGTTCTTGATGGCATGTACACAAAGACATGGATTGCTTTGAGGAAGGATTTGGCCCTGCCGAGAAGCATTGAGCAACAAAGTGACGGTACTGGTACTAGAACGTCTTAAACAACGTAGCTCTACTAGATGTTTCAGCTTCATGTAATCTAATAAGACACAAAACAATATTAATAAAAACGCACATCATCCATTGGGTTTGTTGAGTTCAAATCCCACCCATAGTGTTTCCGTTACAATGCGCAGACAGCCAAGTGTTTTACACCCTCCCCTCACGTGTTCCTTCCAAAACCTACAGATTTTCCAGAGCTTCTCTCCGCTTGTTCAACAGCTTCAATAATAGCTGCGTCATCCCAGAAATCATCATTGAGAGCAGGTGCATGCATACTTTCCTGGGCATCAAGTGTCATCACCACAATCAAGAAAGTTGCTTAGTGAGACAATCCTTTGAATAAATCAGCTTCTATTGTTATGAAATTGCTATAAGATTGATATTGAAGAAATTACATTGCCAAAGTCCGGGTCAATACATGAAATTCGTTGAATATCATTGAACGAACAGACCAACTGGTGATGCGGATGTTTCCAATATGACGCATTAAAACATGTCTCGTTCTGAAAGCAACAGAAAAACTCCTTTCACAGGTGCATTGACATTAAAGTTAGGATAACAATAGTGCTCGATAACTGGTGACAGCAGACATATTTATTGTCATAGAGAACTGTTCATTGAACCGTAAGCAGAGAGGTAGAAAAAGGACAACAAACGAGGAGCTGTGACAGACTCTTCCAGCAGAAAACTCTTACAAGTTATGGCTTCACAGCCTTAGCTATCATATGCTGCCAAAAATCTCACGAAATGACAGACGTCTGTCACAGACAGGAAATACACTCTAGACACTTCTGCAAGGAAAATGAGCGAGAACGAATGACAGAAAACGAAATTGCATCATCACAATGAAAGCCAGATAATCATCTGGCGTCCAGAAAGCAGAATCAACCAAGACACACACCACATAAGAGGAAAGAAATGAACTCCATTGTCAATGTCATCCCCCATTTCGCCTCCATCAACAATATATCCAATGTTGCTCTTCTGCATGGCTCTTGTCGCCCAGACTACAATCACACAAGACCTATACTAGATTATCAACCTAAGTGACGCAACAAGGAACACTTCAGCAGCAGACCGATGAACATGAAGATGTCGCCCATGCAAACCTCCACGACAAACCAGGTACATGTCTTTCTCCCTCTCTATCATCCTGTCTTTTCCCTCCACAGGCTCTCCAACATTGCCCAGAACTACCACCAACCCCATAGGCATCCAGCACGTGCAGTCCGGCTATGGTTGCCATAAAACGCTGCCTGTAGCAGTGCTAAGTCTCCAAGCACGGGGCCCAAGCACCCGCGCGCACCCTTCCAGGCACCAAGTGCCCTGCCTATCGCCGCTCTATGCAGCACTGTTGTCGCTCAAGTGCTGCCAGGCAGAATAACTAGACCGGGGGAAGGCACTTTCCTGTATTGGAAGTGTCAAGCCTGGTTGTTTCCCAGTAGCTTCACGTCCAGACCCAGCACCTGCGCCCCAAGGCCATTTTCCACATAGTGCCCTGGGCCCCGTTTGGTTAAGAGGGCTCAACTCCCCGACGTGCCTTCTGCTTTTCGCTGCGCCCTCATTGCCTGAGAGTCTCCCGGGCACATCAGTCCTTTATATGCCGAGTGTTGTTGAGTTTACAACCCTAGCTGGTAGATTAGCACTTGCTCCACCGCAGGACAGAATACACACACATTAGCAGAAGCCCGCCTATACCCTAGGGGGGAAAAAAAAAGAAAACTACAGCGCGGTCAGGGTTTGAGTTTGAAAATGCACTTCAGGCAAAAGGCCTGAAAATGTCGTGTATACAAGCTAGGTTTTAAGTCCGGTAGGATCACGTGGGGGTGTGTTATGCTCGGGGGAATGCCTGAAATGCATTTCCAAACTGTTTTTGTGACTACACCGTAGTTACTAAAACAAAAAACACGGCAGAATAGGTGCTGATTCCGGAGTTTTGCCCTCCCACGTGGAGTCTTCTCCTTCTTGGACGGGGTTAGCCCATAACATTGTTGGTGTCGGTCAAAATTCAATCATTTGTTGACCATTCAACCACCAAGCTGGGGAACTGTTATGTACTCCAATGTCTTATCTGTTCGCTAATTTGCATTACTAAGTTCATGACAGTAAATCTTCCTGTGCTGTTTGTCTTAATTTAATCGTCAAGGATCACATAGTGCAATAACCCATGCCATCTGTCTCGTGGAAATCCTGAGGGCCGACGCGGCAGTCCTCAGTCCAGGCCACAAAGGGGGGAAGAGGCCCCACGTTTGATTCAGGGCCTGGACGCCAGGCAGTTGCCCGAAGTCAACCGCCGGACTCCCAACAGTCAAAGTCAATGCGTACCCAGCCCAGGCCGCCGGTCAAGCACACACACTTGTTTGTATGCAGGTATCCGGGCAGCATCCAGGCCGGAAGGAAATCTGCAACTGTATACGATCCAGGCCTTCGGTGACGGGTCAATCTGGACGACCGTGGTTCGTGGTCAAGAGGCCAGACTGTCGGGTCAAAGACTACGTAAGGCAGGGTCTCCAGGGAGTCAACATTCAGTCTTGCTATACTGCTTCGACGCTGGCTTGACTCCGGCAGGACGCTGGACGCTGGCTTGCTAGCTGCAGGCTGGCATTGTGGGAGAGGCAGACTGAGGGGACACGGTGGCGCTTCGTTCTGCGCGCCAGCCTTGCTGATGTGGCGCTGCCTCTAGTCTACATTGCTGATGTGGCGCTGCCACTGATCTACATTGCTGACGTGGCTTATGCCACCTGTCTTCGTGCTGACGTGGCTATGTCTACGCTGTCTACATGTGGTGACTAATCGTGACAAGGAGGGGATCGAGATCTGTGATGATCGGGATCGGGATACTTACCTGAGTTCCGAGTCGACGTTGCTGTGTTACGCTGCTGGTTGTCTTCATTGCCACTCAGAGGATCTGTGCCAGGTGGCACTACTGTGCGGTCAGACCGCTTCAGGCTCATTATTGGACACTGATTATTGATGAGGGAGGAGGAGAGGCCCGGAGAAGGAGTGGGCATTGTAATCTCTTTCCACCTTCTCTTCTGCCTGTTCCCCCCTCCTCCTCTTCGTTTGATGGTAACGAGACTTGGATCCGGCATTATTTTCACGAATGTTGGTGGCAATGTACAGTTCTGATTCTACCTGATCTGTGACGTCTGCAATCAGACTCGTTTTCAAACACACTTTTCACACATGTAAACAGTAACACAGCACACTGGCGACATGCGCCCACTCAAAACTCAGAGATATGGCTTCAGATACGAATTCACTCTCAAATGGCTATGGCGACTTCAGCGCCCAAACA